ATTGTTTCTATTTTGAGTTTGTTCTAATTGGCCTAATCTCCTCTTAGTTGGTATTGCACCCATTCCCGACATTGTGTGGAACTTGACCACACCGTGGATTGTTGACGATATGGATTTAAATTTATACATTTTTTCCCTCCAATAAATTATGTCATATGGTGATGACGTCTTTATGACAACAAAGTGTATGAGCTTGGTGTTATTTTTGTCTCATCCATTTGATCAATTAGGGTTAGTGGTAGCGTGATAGTGCCTTCTGGCCACACATTATGGCCGACGATGTAGATCTGGTGGTTCGACTTTTTTTTGCACACGCCCTTGTAGTTCTTTGTAAAAATCCTTAGACATGACATTAGTGGAGCTCCTGCTGTCCACATAGATGTCATTAACGTAGTTATTACCCATGAACCCTCCAATTATAATTGGTTCTCATTTATGATTGTTATGGTTGTAGTGCCACTCATCAAACGTGAATGTGTAGTCTCCCCAGTTGCCATTTGATTCAAGTTGGTCGGCCCGTATTAACATGAATATTTCGTTTTTTCTTGAGTTTTTCAATTTTGGTTCGGCGTGTTCTAGGCTCTCCAAGTGTTTTGATATGAGGCCTTTAATCAGTTCAGTTAGTTGTCCTGAGTGCATCTTTTTCTCTAATTCTCGATGTAGCATAGTACACGCGATGGTGTCATGTCCCGTAGACTCGCGGAACTCACAATATCTTCCTTGGTCCTTGTTTCCTGCTTTTCGCCCATTCTACTTCCACAACTCTTTTTGTTTTCGCTCACCATCGCCACTTCATTACGACCACCATTTCTTGTTTCTAGTGAGTTGCGGTTTTTATGGGGGTGACGGTTTGAGCGCGGTTTCCTTATAATCTAGTATTTTGTATTTTCGAGAACTTGGCCTCTGGCCTAAGGTGCGTGGTTGTCTTTATGGACATTGATTTTTTTCTCCTTCTTCAATTTTTCCCTTCTCGAATGTTGCATCTTCCTGTTTCATATATCGATGGACTCTTTCCATCATACCTTTCCTGGACGTTGGTTGCTCACCGACTAGCTTTTTGAACAAAGGTCGCGGCCGTAACCCGTATGTGAAGGCGACGATCACCATGTTATCTGATTTCTTCGGAGTGTTAAGGGTGACTTTATTGAATCTACGAACGAAAGCACTTAGAGGCTCATCCTCCCATTTTCGATATCTCAAAATAGCTTGGCATCACTGTATATCATCTTTGTTGGATAAAATGTCCAACGAACTCTTCTTTGAGATGGTTGAAATCGCAGATGCTCTCTGTTGGTAAGCTTTTATACGATAATCTCAATGCTCCTGATAGGGTGGTCGGGAAGAAGATGCACCAATACTTTTCATCTAAGTAATAAGCGTCCATCGTCCACCTATAGTTTTCGATGTGATCATCAAGATCTCCTATCCCATCATACTTTGGGATTTCTGGTATATTCGCTCCGACAGGTAACTGGTACTCATATATACTCCTTACCAAAGCTGAGTTGTTCGATCTCAAAATCTACCCATTGTTAATGTTTTCAGTCGGGTTGTCTTGCCCATTTTTACTTACTGGATGCATGGTTTGATGGGGGTACGTCATTGGCTATCCCTCTGGCACGGTTTGCAGAGCATACGTTGGGTGATGTTGAGGGGGAAATATGCTTGGTAATGCGTGTATGGGAATGATGGTGGCAGTAGTATGTATGGTATTGTGTTTGGCTATGTGGTTATAGTATTTGTAAAGTGTTGTTGTAACAATGGTGACAGTGCTTGTAGTGCAAGATTATCATTTTTAGAGGTCAAACGGGTTGGTTTACCAAATATGTTTCACCCTACTATACTCGAACTGCTAGATGTTTCCACTATGATTGAGATTGCCTGCCTAGCCTTTTTGGTTTTTGCATGCCTGGCCTTTTTGGTTTTTTCTTCAGTCTGGTAATTTTCCTCTACCTCAGGTTGAGCATTCGGTTGAGTAGTAAGTAGCGTAGGTTGTTGTGTCGAAGATTCCATCACGGGTCTTGTAGTCAGTGTTGTTATGGTTTACGATTCTACCTGATTTCGGTTTATGTAACATCCTGGGTTTCAGGTATTTTCAAATCCTCCTTTTGGTTTTAAATTATGTCATTTTGGTCCTTGGATTGTAAAGATGTAGCCCAGAGAAGCCATAGTGGCAAAATGGTAATTTTGGAGCACGAGTTGTACGCTGACCGTACATGTGAGTACGCTAAGTGTACTAGGGCGCAGCCTAGTACGTTGGGCGTACACATATGTACGCTGGGTGTACTAATGTCCAAGTGAAACCCTGATTTTTAGGGTTTGAAAGGGTATTTAGACACCTTTATGGATTATTTAGCCCCATCCTTTCAGCCTCCAAGCCCTTGTGTCGTTTTTGGCAAACCCTAACCCCATAAGAGAGTGTTTTGAGCTAAAAGTGTGTTCTTTGTGTGCTTAAGGAGGAAGGGATTGCATCAAGGAGATTAGAAGTGGAAGCAAGCTTATGGATCTTGGATCATCACCTTCTTGGGAAGCTCCAGAAGGTAAAAAGTTGCTAGCTTTATGCTTTGTTTGCTTGTATCTCATCTTGATAGCTTTATGCTGTTCTTTTTGTCCCAAAAGTCCCAATGTTATGGATGTTTGGTTTTGGACGTTTTGGGCTGTCCTTTTAGACCCTAGGAAGGATTCTAAGCCATAAAAATGAGGTCCCTTTAGCTAGTTTGGCCCCATACTTCTTGTAGAAGGTCTTAATGGAATAAGGACTTTTTGGACGTTTAAAGTCATAAAGTTGGAGACTTTATGACTCTGGGGTGCATTTGGACCATGGATCTGATGTTTGGGCTTAAGTGCTTAAGCCATTAAGCACTTCATGAGGTTTTGGGCTCTATGAGGGTACGCTCCGCGTAGAAGGGAGTACGCCTCGCGTACTCAGTCAACGTCCCCATAATGCAGTCAATGCGAGGCTTGCATACGTTGAGCGTACCTCCAGAGTACGCCCCGCGTACTCGCATGGTTCAGCCATTTTCGAGTTAACTCGGCTGGGTTGACTCAGTAGGTTTATGGAGTTTGACCATGTTTGACCAAGTTTGACCATGATTGACCAAGTTTGACTTTTAAGGGTATTTTTGGTATTATTGGGTTTTGATGGAATTGGTTACTTGGTGGTTGTAGGCATTTGACTTGAGAGCTGAGATTCGGAGTTGAGCCTTATCAGTTATGTGCTGCTTGTGAGGTGAGTTTCCTCACTGTCCTTTCGAGTCGAAGGCACCAAGGCCGGCTCATTGGTTTGATAACCTGATATTGTTGATATGCTGAGTATGGAATAGATATGCATGCTAGTTTGATATGCTAGTTTGGTAGATATGTAGGACTACCTGTGATACTGTCTGTTTATCTTTATATGATATTATCTGTTATATGTCGACATATTGTGTGGGTTGAGTTGAGGTTATACTGCTCCGTGTTGTAGCCAACAAACCCTGGAGCATACCAGATATGAGCTGAGGGCCAGGGAGGGCATGTCAGACCCATACTGAGGGCTCATGAGCATTCCAGATACGAGCTGAGGGCCAGGAAGGGCATGCCAGATTCGTACTGAGGGCTTAGTGGTACTCAGTCCAAGGACTGATCAGCCGGGGAGCAAGCCAGACATAAGCTCTAGGCCCAGGGGCTAGCCAGACTTATGTTGTGGGCTCAGGGGTAATCCAATTTGTTAGCTGTGGACCCATTGCATGTTGTTATTATTTTTGTGCTATTTTCTTGTGTATTGGTATTTGGGGGGAACTCACTAAGCTTTGGGCTTACTGTTTTGGATTATGTTTCAGGTACCTCAGAGGATCGTGGGAAGGCGAATGTGTGATCGTGCACTTCCTCATGTTTTGTTTCATGATTTTGGGATTACTCTAATATTGACATGTTTTTGGAAAACTAGTTTTAAACAATGATGATTTTTGGGTTGTTATAAAAGTTTAAATTTTTCATGAATTTTATGGATGTTACAGTTTACCAACATCCTCTTCCTACCCAACCATCGCCATACGGAGTAGTAGAATTGTGTCGCAACTCCAAGCCTCTAGTGGATGTTTTGAGTGCTTTTTGTGATCATCATAAGACATGAAGCAAGAGAAGGAGAGGAAATAAATAAATAATTGTCTATAGTATCCCCATGATCAACCAATCCAAAGGTTCTTGGTTTTGAAGATTTCAAATTGAAGGTTTTCAACCGATTGCTCCCTCTCCGTCTAGCGACTCCACCACCACCCCTTCAATAAGCAAAGCACGATAAGCCCTAATATCAAGCAAAATTTTAGCAAGAGACATGAAGCAAAAGAAGAAGAATTGAATGAGGATGTGACTTCATGCTTTTATGAGAGAGAGAGAGAGAGAGAGAGAGAGAGAGAGAGAGAGAGATGTGAAGCTCTTTATCAACGCCAATTAAGAACGTGGGAGAAGTTGAATCTTGTCTCCATTCTACAACCGTGGGAGTTAGAGTGAGATTGGGGAGAAGTGGGCACCTAAAGTCGGAGGCGTGCTGCAGGGAGTGTGACGGAAACCGTAAATAGGTAATTAGAGTGGTTGAAATTCAAAGAAAGAAAGATCCAATGGCTCGTAATAGATATGTAACTTTTGCACACCCTTACGTTTGGCTTTTTCACATAATTTACAATAAAAAAAATAGCTTAAACCAATTTGTTTTAAAATTGAATTAAAATCGCTGCCTTTAATATATAATATATAAGTATATAACTACTTTCCAGTTTTTACGAAGTCAGTTTACACAACTTCTCCGCTACATTTTTTGCATTTCTTGTATCCTTCAATTTTTTTGCGACTTTTCTTTCGTTTTCCTTTCACTGAGAGATATTTCATAGACTGATTCTGGTTGACACATCTCTTTCTTTTCAAGAATTTGTAACAGAAACTCTTCAGCGTTCACAAGAATCAACCCCGATTTCACTAGTATTCTCCAAGCAATCGAAGATTCAGAGGAGACGTCATTCATAATGGGCTGTGTTAAATCATCGGCTTATGATGATGCTGGACGTAAGTATTCCGATTCTCCAAGCTCTATATATGCATTGGTTTTCGTCAATGATTTTTGGCGACTTTAGAATGTGAAATGATGAGAATCTTATGTGATTTATATGTTTCAGCCAATCGTGGGTATTTAAATTAGTTGCGTATACGTAGCATTATGTGATTGGAGACGGTGAAGTGGTTAATTAGGGTTTTAGTTTCTTGTTTTTTTTTTTTTGGTCATAGTCAACATTACAAATATTGGCTTGTCAATTTGAAGGGTATTATAATCATTAATCTTTAATTACAAATTTTGGTCGTTGATCGTAAAGGATATTTTAGTCATTAATCTTTAATTATATTTTGGTGTTCTTCCAGTTGCCCATTTTAATCGAGTAAGAAAACCAAGGCCATGGAATCATGATGCTGACATTACTTTGGAACAACTTCGAGATATGCGCAATGTATTTTGGCGTAATATTCCCCGTTTCGGTGGCCAACTAGGTATTTTTCTGACCGGATTGAATTGAACAAACTTTGTAGGACAAAATTTTAATGATCAGGTTATTTACGGCTTTTTTCCATTAATTCAACTATTTTGTTGCGACAAATAATTGCAAGGTTTCTCACAATCTGATTACAAATTTTGTTTCGATGGTTTTTAGAGATCTGGCAAGCGCTTCGAAGGGCAGCAGAAAGTGACTTGCCGTATGCACAAGCAATTATCGATGAAAATCGCATTAGACTTGTGAATCGTGACATGTCAGTTTGCTATGATGAATTAAATATTAGATATGAGTTACCTTTGTATGTTTTGAGTGAGCCTGAAAATTTACTTGATCGCCCTCGGCAAGATCCGGTCAGGCGACCAAGTATGATGGATCGTCTTCGTCGCCACGCATAATGAGAATGGTGAAAGATGCTGGTTTTAATGTGAAGATTGTATGTGGATCATGTACATATATTTTGTTTTTGAGTTTTTTGATTCATGAAAATATGTAGTGAATAAAGGCTTTTTGTGCCACCTAGATTGTGGATATGCGACATTTTGAGATGGTGACTATGGATTGACACAATTTTTTTTCTAACTGTTTGAAAATTACAAATGATAAATCAAATAATATATGCATATAATTATAGTAATAAATACCGAAAAACCAAAAAACTTTTTCTTTTTCATTTTTTTACTTATTAAACTAATTTTAATTCATTTTTAGTTAAAAGAACTTTCGAACAACCTCTTTTTTAGGGTGTAAGGAGTCGAGCTCTCCCAACTCACATTACACATGAAACTTATACCAATATATTTTTTTCTCTCTTTCCCTATCAATCATCTCCCTTTCAACTCTCTCTCTCAATTTACAATATATGGAAATCCATGTATTTCAACCATACACTTTGGTACAATTTATATTGCATATGGTATAAGTGAACGAAAGTCAAAGAGAATGGGAGCAAAGAGAATGGGAGCAGACGGTCGATGAAGTCACTCAATGCACGCATTCATGTGGTACCGCAAAGGGCGGAACAACGTTCATGGAAGTACCACCCATACCTCCCTTGACCCATAGCTCTTTCCACGTAACTATATGAACTGCAACTCTTGCCTTTTTTAACCGGGTATAATATGTAATATTGGTTAAAATTTAGGGAAAATGTTATGAAATGAACAACTGAATGTTTCATTTGTCCGTTTTTAGTCTCTCAACCTATTTTATCTACTTTTAGAGAAGATTCCAAAAATGTATCATTTTAACCTCTTTAATCGACTATAGCTCTTACCCTACTTATGTGATTTTTTAAAACTTAAAATCACATGGCTTTTATTAATCACACTTGACATCTTAGTCCCTTAAAAGAACATATCAAATCTGTATGAGAGGAAAATCGAGTTGGATATAGCCCTCATCGTCACGAAACATAAGGCATAGCCTGTTAATTCTAATTAAGTTTTAATACAAATCATTAAGAGACTTGCCACTATTTAAGGGTTGTATTCTGTTAAAGAGACTAAATTGAGACAATTTTGAAAATTCATTACCTAAAAGTGGACAAAAATAAGTTGAATTAGTATAAGTGAATAATGAAATAGTTTGTTGGTTATTTATAACAGTTTCCTATAGTCATTTATATAAAAAAAAAGTCCCTTCAAATTTTCCCAAACAATAACATGGGTAGAAAGTGCCCGTCAAATTAAAATAAGATTGCAAAAGTATTTAGGGCGTGTTTTGTAAACTAAGTAGAACCCAAAGCTTGTAACGGGTATTGGAAGTTTTAGTTTTTATTTGCTCAGAAGTGTTTGGAAAAAAGTAGTTGTTAGGTTTTATATGTGTAAAACTAGATAATAAAAGTTAAACGCTTGCAAAGCTCTATGAAAGAATGCTCCAAAATCTAGAATCTGATGAAACTGCGTTGCCACATCGTGGGCAAGAAGCTACCACGGTGTGGGAACTGGGATTTGGTAGTTTCGAGAATAAAGAGGGACAACCGAATTTCTCTTAGGTTTTGGGTAAAACTCATCATCATAATTCGTCCACATTCTTTTATTATTTATAGGGAAGGATATACACCCCTAAAAGATAAATTATCTAGTCACCTAATAATTATCCATATAAATGGTAACTATCCGACTGCTTAAATTGTCCTCTTTTATCCTCCAAAACATTCCAGAACTTCAAGATTTCATTTAATTAATTAAAGACTATTAATTAATTAACAAATCAAGTCCTTATAAAATTCTCATTGTCATTTATTGCTTATTTATGTCCTTACGTGTAACCCCAAAGGACCCGACTATTAATAGTAATATTACCAATGGTTGCAACTGTGTTGTAATGATGGGCACCATTCTCCATCACTCCCACTTACACAAGTTACCAACACTATCTGGTCTAATATTCACTAGTAATGAGTAGAGAGTATACTACCAAATGTATCTACCATACTCACAACATAGAGTCATGATATAGCCCTAAGATAAGTGATAAAATATATTCCTTTTGTTTCTTCAAGATAACTATATGAACGTGAGACAAAGATATAGTCAATCTCGAACATTCAAAAAAAAATTTCCCGAATCTGACATGTGTCAACCAAAAGCAACCTGCATAATTGGTCTATCAATTCAGTCTGAGCATGGCCATGCATTTTAATGTCAACACCAAATCATCGAGTGACCCCAAAGATATCGACTCCAACCGTTTAAAGAATAAGTGAACACATAAACTTTGACTACATAGATTCCACATATTCCTCATGTCATATCTAGTCAAACCTTGTATGATTTCCATTTACGAACATCGTTGGGGAGAAATCAAGACACAACAGATTATAGGAAAAAATCTCATGCATCTCCATTTGAGGAATATATGATATTACCATCTTAGAATTACTTTTGACAGAATCCTTGAAGTAATCTCTAAGTGCGGGTTACTCAAATACCTTAAAATCTCCATTTAAAGTACTCATGAGTATTGGTTGCAAACTTTGGTATGTTCATCCCCGTGAACAATCTACCAATGTTCCATGACAATCTTAACTCATTACCTTCTTCCTGGAGTAGGACCGATTGTGGAAGTTTGAATAAAATAATATTCTGGAAGTGGTTCTAAACATGCAAAAGTTGGAACACATTGATGTCCTAAATCAAATGACCGAACTCCTTCAAATATTAAGTTCTCCACTTAATAATTGTCGGATCAAAAAGAGACCACAACTGCATCAGTTCCTAAATTAAAACAAACTAAACTAAATATGCTCAAGTTAATACACATGCAAGTCTACATGCAAGTCTAATGACATTAGATCTTTATGTGACTATTAACCTTGATTAGTGACTTTAGTTTAAGGAAATGAATCAACAAGATTTTCTTTGGTTGACCATGATGTCCTCACAATCATGAAGGTACTTACTGAGTATTTACCATGTGATCATGTGTGACTTAGGATCTATACTCAAGGTGAAGTCACATTTTAGTCACAAGAAACTTCAAGAGACCCATCAATGATTGAATACAACACTGGGGTCACTAATGAATTTATTTTAGTCACATAGGTTGTCTTTGTAATCTAACTTATTGCAAGATACTCTAAGCTTATTATCAAATTCACTTAGGTGTATTACTTGATACTCTTCCAAGCTAATATTTTATTATTTGCTAAGAGCACGAACTTCGACTGCTAAATGAAAACGTCTATGTTAGTAAGGAACTCACCATCAATATAACTCTTTTATTAATTTCTTCCATACTAGCAAGATTATCTCTTCCGTCCTTTTAGGATTCCAAAGAATATTCCTGGTTCTTGATTCGTTGATTATAGATAAAAACAATCTTATACGACTGTCCATTCACAAGGCATACGAGTCATTAGATTTATTTTTTGGATTAGGTGTCTAAGCCCATAACTATATTTTGTATGTACTTGACCCGGTTGTAGCATGGTCCTTTTGGGTTGCCTTCACCAAAGTAACTTGACTGGATGAATTATAGAGAAATAGGATAAATGTAGTTTATTAATATATTATATGAATAATATATTAAAAGAGAAATCATATTGGTTAATTAATATTGGTCAAGAATTAATTGAGAAATTAATTTTGTGATCAAAAGATATTAATTGAACTTAGGGAACTGGAATTACAATTATGAGATAATTGGAATATGGGTTGTGGATCCCTTAAGGAGGGAGGGATGAAATCAATGTGCATGGCCACATTGAAATCGTCTAAGGCTTGTTTCTGGAAGGATCTAATGGGTTGCTTGGTGGCTAAGCAACCAGATTAGGTTTTGACTGAAACCCTAATTCCACACCTATATAAAGGGACCCTAGGCTCACATTTTCGGCTACCCTAACCCTAGAAGGATTGCTAGAGCCAAAAATCACCTCCCTCCTCTCGCTCTTACATTCTTCCAATTGCCTTGGTGTTTTTGATCGATTAGAGGTATTACATTTGTGATACTAAGCTCTAAAAGTCAAGGATCTTCAAGCTTCAATTAAAAGGTAATCATCTAAACTTGTATTAGTTATTAATTTCGATTTTTTGATGCTAGATCTAGGGTTTACAAGCTTTGGATGATTTGAATGTACCATTAGAGAAACCTAGATCCAAAGCTTTAGGGTTTGCATGTGCACCATAGGATTGATGTAATGCTCAAAACTCATCAGTGATATCAGAGCCTAGGTTGTTTTCTATTGTATTTGATGCTTTGTTTGATCATTCATTGCTTGCAAAATCGAATTTTCTGCCCTCTGACAGCTTAACTCGTCGAGTCACCAGATGAACTCGACTAGTCCAGTCTGTGACTCAGCGAGTCGGAGAGTCAGAGAACAGATATTTTGGGATTTTGGACTATTTTTTACTGGGTTAATTACCAAAAACGTTTTTGATTAATAAAATCCGATTTTTATTAAATAGATATGATTATCCTTATCAAAATAGAAGATAATTGTCAATTAAATAGATAATTATTGCCTTATATGGTAATCTTAATTATTTGAATTATTTGATTGAATTATCTTGCCATGAAATTGGATTAGGTCAAATTTAAATAATCACTAATTAATTGTTTAATTAAATTATTTGTAATTTGATCAAGAAAGTTTTGAAAAGTTTCAAAACTTGCCCTCAAGTTTTGGAATTTAAATTTTTGATTAAAAGTTTAATTTTGAAATGTTTAAATTCTAAACCCTAGAATTTTACATTTTAAAATTCAACCCTTATACTATTATAATATTACAAGATTAATATATATATATATATATATATATATATATATATATATATATATATATAATATATGTATAAGATTAAGCTATTTTTACCGTTAGTAGTCCTCATTCACGAAGCCGATCTATAAGGGGGGGTATAAGGTTGCTGCCTATAAAATGACAGTTTAATGGGTG